CGGGGGCCTCGGGGGCTCCTCTGGATCCCCCGCGGCCGCCATCGGGCAGGGCGACGGCGGCCGCCCGATCGGCGGCTGCGGCGGAGGCGGCGATGGATTCGCCGTGGTGGCGAGGCGGGGGGGAGGGAGGGGGAGAGAGGTGGAGGAGTGAACGAGGCGGAGTGGGATTGGAGAGGAAGGCGCAGGGGGAGGTGGATCGGACGGCGCGTGGAGGGCTTTAGGATTCGGGACGGGCCGCTGGAGGGTCCAGATCGGTGGGTCCTCTTTTGATCCCGGTTCACTCCTGATTTTCTACGGCAAGGATTGTAAGGAGGCCATTAGTGATCTTAATTACGCATAAAGTGGAGTACACTATAATTCCTAGTACTAAATTACTCCCTCCGTTACTAAATACAAGTCTTTTTAAAGATTTTAATTAAGACTATATATGGAGCAAAATGAATAAATATACACTCTAAAAAATGTCTATATGCATCCGCTTGTAGTTCTTATTATATAAAATCTCTAAAAACCCTATATTTAGGAACGGAGGAAGTATTTATCGAATTTAAATGGTAATCTCCAAAAGGAAAACACTCAAAAACAGTCGTTCATAACTCTTTGCGCGTTGACTGCCTTCATGGCCGTTGGATCTAAGTTTGATCGAACGGACCACAGCAACTCATACAATGTAGTCCAGTTTAGAATATGGCCCTTGTTGCAACGGCTTCAAGCGCAATACCAACTCTGTTTGCAGATATGAGCAAATAGGGTTTGTTGCCGACACAACATAGGCCACATTGCAAAGGTATAAACGCTTCGACAGACCACAACACAACTCATGCTGCAAACGCCCGGACGCAGCATGAGCCATGTTGCAAATGGCTGGGCGCAGCTGAGTGACAGAGATCGGAGGGCCATTACGCACGCCACCCAACGGTTGTTGAGGCGGTCAATCCGATCATCAACCGGCTAAAGCATAAATTGACCATCAACCGGCTAAAGCATAATCAGTGTTTATGTTTACACATGTTGTGGGCGTTTGTGCATGCACTGTTCTTATAAACTCAAAAGTAATTTGCTACAATTAAGTGAGGAACAAAAAAGGCAGATTTGTTAAAGAACTTTTGTGAACAGGCTGTGCAATTTATTTTAAAAGTTTCTACTAGTGTGCAAGCATTGCATTTTAGAGAGCAATGCACATATGAACATACCCATTCGACATATATACTGTCTTAAGATCCATCATGCAGAGCAAAACCATTGGCAAGATGACACTGATCACCAGAATCACGAGGATAAGGTTTACACAGGAGAAGGAGAAGGTTTTACAGACAAAATAACCAAACAGCATAGCATAGTACTCACGACCCCAAGAACGAAGCAACGTAATGGTACTTTTAAAAACATAGCTGAAGCTCCAGCGTATCATTACAACACAGGCTTACCCAGGAGATATAACAAGACAAGACACACAAAACCATGTGAAGGACACCGTCAAAGTTATACATAATCGTTTGCACCAAATGTTGCGATCTTATGCGATATCTAAAATGAGAACCGCGAGGGTCCTTGGGAATGACACGTTCGACGCGATGAGCGCTCGTTCAGTAGACCGTCCCCTCCGGAGGCTGCACTAGTTTCCGGTTGTGTGATGTCGCCATCTCTTTCTTAAGCTGTATCAAGATGTTCTCCATTGTGTACTCACGGCGCCAGTTGGACAGCAGGCTAAACTTCCTTTGGTCCACCTGCATTTTTGCTCCAGGTTAAGTTTGAAATACAAGGAGAACAAGTGGATATACAAGAGACAGTGCCATACCAATCCAGTCTCGGCATTTACACAGGTCATGTTGATTCTTGAGTGAAACCTAACAGTCGGTGGCCTGTCGGGATAGTCCTTGTCACAGAAAAGCTTCAGCTGATAAATCCGGCCCTCATGGACAGTCTACAAAACCATATATAGATCAACAAGAAAGCACAAACTCAGAAATGCAACAAATCATATTTCAAGAAAACAATGGTCAGTGGAAATATCTCACGTTGTGGGGACCAATTATTGTTCCTGTCCAGGAGCGCATGTAGATATCATCTGCGTCATCCATTCCATAGCTAACTGTTCCATCCCCAATGCCCTTCTCTCCTCTCTCAAGCTCTTCCAGCAGTCTAAAGTTCCTCGGCACTACAGAAATATTTTTATGGCAGTCAGTATCAATAATTCACTTCCAACAACATTAATAGATACGGCATAGGCACATCATCAAATCTGATGTTCAGAATAGCTACATACATAAAACGAAAAATGACCATAATTTTTTTTCCACCCAAAATACACTGAACCAGGTAGCCGGCAGCTTACTAACAATTTTAGTTCTGCTTGCAGAGTTTCTAATACAAGTTGTTCCAATGAGCAATTAGGACCAGTAGATAACGAAGGGATAATTGCACCCGGCTGCATAGAGTAAATTATCGCAATCCTAAATGACAAAAATTCTCAGATATCTTGGATTCTACCTAATTTTGTTCTCATTCTTTTAATGTGCCATTTCCCTTGGCTGTGTAGCATCAGAAGATTACTCGCTTGTACAGCTAAACAATCACAGAAATGAGATTTTATTCCTGTATTTCCAAAAGGTGCGGCTATTCACAAGCTCTAGACAATAGTGGGAATGTGGTGTGGAAGCAATAAGGATTAATACATTAAGTGTCTTCTATTCCAAGGATTCGTGAATTCTATAAATATATAAAGTGTGATTGGTTGCTCTTTTAGGGAAAAATCGCCCAGTTGACTACACCTTGCAGACTCGCATAGTGAATTTCCCAGAACAAAGCGGCCAGCTGCCAACAAACTATTTCATGTCGCGACAACAAACAAGCATAGACGGGGAACACATTAACCCCAAGTATTCAGTTGTAGCAATCCTCTGGACTAGATGAAGAGCTGATAGTCTAAGGATGTAAGTGGGGCGTGTTCGCGGCCAGTATCATAGTATGCATGCTAGCGTCAATTTTGTGAGCGGCGAACTATTGCCGAGTTTTGCAGGATAAGTGGGTCGCTGCTTGCATCCGTATGATAGTGTCCTATCTACCACCACTTGGCACAAAGCTAGTCCATATGATGCATTTTACGAAAATATCGGCACCAGCAGCAAAGTCATTACGTTCATCCTATCTTCTGGGTAGATAAAATTTGACAATTCCTACTCCATCATAGATCACACAGATTACCAGCAGCTATGGACTCCAGTTCCATGGTATCTTCATCCAAACAAGCAACCCCGCATCATCATCCTAGTGACATGGGGGCAACAGTATGTGGCTCAGGTGCAGAGCTTCCTGCACCATACCATACCGCGACCTATGAAAGACCACTTCCCATAATTTTCTCGCAGTCAAAACATTACTTGTTGCCTAATGTGTCAGAGCCCTGCAGCCAAGACATCGCGGGAAGGCAGGCGGCAACGGATGCCAGCTCATCAATTCTTCCTAAATACTGCAACTTATATTACCATGAAGCATGAAGGCGACGACCTAACACGAGTCCCGAGAATTGAATGAACTGAGCTCAACTGAACCCCATTTTTGCTAAATTTAAGAATCTGCCATTCGCAGCAGTAGTCCACACCCTAACACAGGTACTTGAGCAGAGGGGGATCTCTTCCCCCGCGGACGCGCCGGAGAAGACCAGATTCGAACCATGGATGGGTGGACGGGAACGGATCCACGGCGTCAGAGAGCAAATCCGCGACTGATTGGACGGATTGAAGCATCGTATCGGTCGCATACGGGGAGATTTGGGGCTTGGCGGCTGGCTGGCTGGGAGGAGAAAGTAGCAGGAGAGGTTTGGGCGAGCTAGGGCTTACCGACAACTCCGGCTGCGTCACCGCTCGACGCCATTCCAGCTAAGTGGAGGGGCACGGGGAGGAGACCGCCCGACGGATGCGAGAGGCGAATTCGGGGCGGCGCGCGTGCTCCGGTGGGGGGAGGCGGGCGGGCGTGCGTGCTCGGCGGCGCTCGTTCCCCTTTGGTGATGGTGGGGTGGTGGTGGTGCACGGGTGCGACAGTGCGAGCCGACGGGGAGAGGGGTGCGATGAAGTACGCGCGCAGGTGGGCTGGGTTGGGCCAGTCCAGGTCAGTTGGGCTGGGTTGGGCCAGTCCGGGTCAGGCTTGTGATGATGAGTACCAACGGGGATGCATGATCGAGTATACCGTTGTGCACACGGAATATTGAGGATTCATGAAGCTGGAATTATGAGAAAAAAGGCCACTTCTCGGTGAAATCTGCATACAGAATGTTAATTTCTACCAGGGATCGCCGCGAAGCTTGGCTGAATGGCTTGCCTGGCTCTTCGGAAAGAAACATGAACGAGGACGCATGGAAGAGTCTTTGGAAAACCCAAGTCCTGAAGAAAATATGTATGTTTCTATGTAGGCTAGCAAAGCAGTCATTACCCACGGAGGATGTCCGGGCTCACCATCATATGTCCACATCCAGCATGTGCGGCTTTTGTGGAGCACCGGACTCATGGTGTCACTCCCTAGTTGAATGTACAACATCCCGATGCACTTGGGCTATGGCAGATGAGGAGGTGTGCCAAGCAGTAGTTGCTAACACTGAACCGAATGCTAGACACTGGTTGTTCTCACAGATGGAAACATTATCAAATGCTCGGTTTGTAAAGCTCGCTGTACCCTATGGGCCATATGGACATCAAGGAGGAAAGCAATCCATGAGGGGATTTTCCAAAGCCCTCAAACAGTTCATTCATTTGTAGGAAGGTTTTTGGACGAACTGCAGGTAATCAACACAAAAAAGGTGAGTACCTTAGCCATAGGCTCACGCCCAGTACAAAGACCAAAGGCACCGTCCCTTAACTTCTGCAAAATTCATGTTGATGCGGGAATCAGGTTTGGAAGAAAAGTATCAGCTGCAGCAATATGTAGGGACCACCATGGAAATTTCATGGGTAGTTCATCTTTGGTTGTTGACGGAATGGATGATCCATCTCCCATGGAAACCATAGTGTGTAGGGAGGCTCTTTGCTTAGTAGAAGACCTACACGTAAACTAGTTTGTGGTAGCATGTGACTCGAAACAGGTTGTGGATGATATTGTGAAGAACAACCAAGGCAAAGGAGGAGCAATTATCAAGGAGATCAAAGCCAGGGCGGCACCTTTTACTTGTACTTTTGTTTTTGAAGGTCGTGACTCAAATGTTGAGGCGCATAGATTAGCTAAATTTTCACTCTCTTTAGCTCATGGGTGTCATGTGTGGTTTGGCCAGCCGCATAATGTAACTTCCATCCCACTTTCTGTGGAGTTCGATGAATAAAATTAGGCTATTACCCCTAAAAAAGCTCATGATCAAGTGGTCGCTGTCCGGTGCCATCCTTGCCATTGCGAGCCCGCGTCAAGGAGAAGCCGGTATCACCACCTCGCTATTGTGTCAAGACGGAGCCGACGTCGCCGCCCTCTTCGCCGCGTGAAGGCAGAGTAGGCGCCCCACTCCCGCGCGTAACTGCAGTGTCCAAATCGAATGTCGGGTAGGAGTAGGTGTCACCGCTCCACAGCTGGTACATCCATATAGACCAGTCATCCCTGCATCGCCACGCCCGTCTGGCGCAACAAGGCAGTGAAGGAGGAGGTGTCGCAGGCCCTGTGTACTTACAGTTTTGTTTATCGGTGCTCTGTGTGCCAACATGTTGAGCTCGAGCACACCAAACCAGCAAGCCTCCTCGAACCCCTGCCAGTGCCGGAAGGGCCATGGACCGACCTACCTATGGACTTCGTCAAAGATTTGCCCAAGTCCGGCAACTTCGACATGATCATGGTCGTGGTCGGCCGCTTCATCAAGATAACACATATTGTTCCTCTCTAACACACTTTCACAGTGCAACAAGTTGCTCGAGCTTTCTTGGATTTGGTTGTCAATATGCATGGGGTGCCAAAGTCGATCGCTTCTAACCGCAATAGCATCTTCATCAGTCACATGTGGTGCGAGATGCTCATAGATGTGGGCACCAAGATCTAGTACTGCATAACATACCACTCGCAGACCGACGTTCGGAGCGAGCGATGAATCAGTGCCTCGAGATGTATCTTTGGTGTGCCATTCACGAGACATCAAGCAAGTGGCAGCGCTGGCAACCAATGGCAGAGTTGTGGTACAACTCTTCGTTTCACTCATCACTCAACTGCTCACTCTTCAAGGCATTGTATGGCAAAGAATCAAAATTGGGAGCTTCAGCAAGCTGGCTAGGCCCCTGAACAACTACGACAACCAACCACATGGACTGGAGCAAGCACACTGAGATGCTTCGGGAGCAAGTCATCCGTACTCAGGCTCGCATCAAGCTCAAGGCCGACAACAAGATTCGTCTGGTGTTCCATGTCCCACATTAGAAGCCTTTCACACCGAACAATCACTATAAAAAAGACACATCTGTGACATTTTGGGCCGAACGATTTTTTTTCCTGTCATGCTTATGACACTTCTATGATGATAATTGTGACAAAACCCGGTATCATCATAAATGTGGTGGGCTCCTACTTCTATGACAAAAAATCATGACAGAAAATGGGCTTCTCGTCCTGGGCGGGCCGGAGACGCAGCTGCATGACATTCTTTGGGCCGTCCATGACAAAAAAACCATGGTAGAAGCGAGGGCGAGGAAAATATTGGGGAGTTCCCGGTTACGGTGGGTGGTCGGGGGCCGAGCGATGCGCGTTTCTCTCGTACACGTACGTGCGTAGATGTTAGGCGTGGGATCTAACTGAACCCGAGCGATTGCACTGCAGGCTAGGCGTTACTGAACCCGAGCGATCGATCGATCTAGCTGTTAACTGAACCCGATTGAGTGATTCCTTCACTACTACTGCTAACTGAAGCCGGTCGAACCTGCTGCCTCTTGATGAACAGTGAGCGTTTGTTGGGGGGTTGGATGAATAGTTCCCAGTGGGGGGTTAGATGAACAGGACCCCGTGGTAGTAGAGGTCATTGCCGCTAGTCGAACAGGACCCCGATCGAGCCGGTTGAGGATGGATGAATAAGACCCATGGAGGGCTGGATGAACAGGACCCCGTGGAGGGCTGGTTGAACAGTAGCCGGTGGAGGGCTGGATGAACAGTAGCCCGTGGAGGGGTGGTTGAACAGGACCTCGTGGAGAGGGCTGGTTAAACAGTAGACGGTGGAGGAGCGGTGGAGGCTGGATGAACAGGAGCCCGTGGATGAACAGTGGCTGGTGGAGGCAGGAGGGGAGACGCCATGGATGAACAGTCGCAGGTGGAGGCTGGAGGAGGTCGACGGTGGATGAACAGTTGCTCGTGGAGGCAGTCGATGGTGGAGATGAACAGTAGTCCGTGGAGTCCCGTTTTGCGGTACGCCACACCCCTCCCGATAAACAGGACCCCCGTTTCGACTGTAGCGCTCCAACACAAGTCTGTTTCCTTCATTTTGCGGTACGCCACACCCCTCCTGATCAATAGGACCCCGTTTCGATCGTAGGAGTTTGAAGAGAAGTCTGTTTCCTCTGTTCTATGGTACGCCACACCCCTCCCAGTGAATAGGATACTGTTTCGACCGTAGGCAGTCGAACACAAGGCCGTTTCCTCTGTTCTGCGGAACGCGAGGCCTCGCTTCGATCGATTGTTCCGTCCAAGCCGGTTGGCTCCTAATGAACAAGACGCATTCCGTTGCCTCCCGATGAACATGACGACACAGTTTCTCCGTTCTGACCCATCCATGTACGCGAGCCCTGGCCGTACGTATGCGCGAGTAGGTGTTCGAGACCCCGCCCATATGTACATACGTGGTCGTATTTGTTGGGGAACTCAGTATTTCAAAAAAAATTCCTACGATCACGCAAGACCTATCTAGGAGATGCATAGCAACGAGAGGGGGAGAGTATGTCTACGTACCCTCGTAGATCGAAAGCGGAAGCATTATGAAACGCAGTTGATGTAGTCGAACGTCTTCGCGATCCAACCGATCAAGTACCGAACGCACGTCACCTCTGTGATCTGCACACGTTTAGCTCGGTGACGTCCCTCATACTCTTGATCCAGTTGAGGCTGAGAGAGAGTTTTGTCAGCACGATGGCGTGATGACGGTGATGATGAAGTTACCGATGCAGGGCTTCGCCTAAGCACTACAACGATATGACCGAGGTGGAATTCTGTGGAGGGGGGCACCGCACATGGCTAAACAATCAACTTGTGTGTCTATGGGGTGCCCCCCTCCCCCGTATATAAAGGAGTGGAGGAGGGGAGGGCCGGACCTCTCATGGCGCGCCCAAGGGGGGAGTCCTACTCCTAGTAGGAGTAGGTTTTCCTCCTTCCCTAGTTGGAGTAGGAGAAGAAGGAAGAGGGATAGGGAGAGAAGCAAAGGGGGGCTGGCCCCCCTCCCAATTCGGATTGGGCTTGGGGGGCCCACCTTGGCCGCCTCCTACTCTCTCCCACTAAGGCCCAATAAGGCCCATTGACTCCCCGGGGGGTTTCGGTAACCCCCCGGTACTCCGGTAAATGCCCGAACTCATCCGGAACTATACGAATGTCCAAACATAGCCTTCCAATATATCGATCTTTATGTCTCGACCATTTTGAGACTCCTCGTCATGTCTGTGATCACATCCAGGACTCCGAACTACCTTCGGTACATCAAAACACATAAACTCATAATACCGATCGTCATCGAACAGCGTGCGGACCCTACGGGTTCAAGAACTATGTAGACATGACCGAGACTCATCTCCGGTCAATAACCAATAGCAGAACCTGGATGCTCATGTTGGTTCCTACATATTCTACGAAGATCTTTAACGGTCAAACCGCATAACAACATACGTTGTTCCCTTTGTCATCGGTTTGTTACTTTCTCGAGATTCGATCATCGTTATCTC